TAAGACACCACCGTGGGCATTCTTTAGTCTATCGCATCGGAAACACGAGTAACCGTTGAGTTCAAGTTCTTGGGTGTATAACTCTGCATGCAGCCATGTCTCTGCGAGTCCCACTACGTCTGGCCGCTCAGACGCAACGTAATAACAAAGCTCATCGCGCTTATTCATAATACTGCAAACGTTTGTGAAGGCTACTCGCAGGCCACAGCAGGAGCCGCCGGGCGTGCTTGAAGTGTGAGCAGCCTGTTTATCCTGATTCGCAGATTGTTGGAAACCACCCGAAAATTTACGATACGAAGATAGGTATCACAAGTTGCCCATTGGACGGTTTCAGTTTGGAGATCAACCATCGAGGTTTACTTCAGATGGGCATCAAGACAGAACAGAAGGTGGTGCTCGACCATTTTCATTCGACTGTCTGTCGCTTATGCTCAGGGCTTCCAACCGGTGTCCCATTGCCTAACGTCCCATGACCAATGCGAGTGTCCACGACGCCAAAACAGCGTTCTTAGCCTCGCTAACTTGCAAGCACTGCAAGCGATTTCGAAAATGCGTCACGCTAAAAGCTTGGTTCAATGCGCTAACATGCCTTTAAATTGGTATAGATGGTCTTCTACCGTCTCGGCGATGATTGCCTCCATCACGTTTAATAGCATAGGGAGGAGGACCACTGGGCGGTAGTTGGCGGGTTCCGAGCCATTACCGTTTTTGAGAATTGGGGTGATTAATGCGTGTTTCCACATGGTAAGCTGAATCAGCTTGTCCAAGTACGTTTGGAAGCAATGCCATAATGGCCCGACTAGCATTGTTGCTGCTGCGTTCAGCGCTCACGGGTGGATATGATCGATTCCAGAAGACCTGTAGGTGCGTAGTAGGAGTAGTTTCTTGAACACTGCTGTGGCAGAAAACTCGATGTTCTTGAGCGTTGAAGTTGGGGCTATGGATCTTGGTATGTAACAATGGCACAATCTCTGTGGAAATTTCGGGCATACTGCATTCGTAGGTCCATGGCTGCCACTTCGGCACTCTGTGCCACGCTGACTGGTGTGTTAAGTGAGGGAGGAAACCAAGCTTCACCTTCCGGATGGTGTTAACATGCTTGTATAGGAGCTCTTGTTTTTGGCAAATTTGCACACCAAATGTTGGTGAGTCAGTTTGTCCTCACGGACAGGCAAATGAGGTCCGAACCGTCGGTGGTATCCATGACTCGGAGATTAAACGGCAGGTGAGCGAATCCGCCATGGGCGACCCCGTTTTCACACCTATTGACCTGGTGGATGGCTATGGCCATGCTCAATGGCCCAAACTTGACCATAAGTTTGGCCACAGTGTGCCAGTTACATCGTAAAGCACATGGCATGATAATACATGTAATTCCCGTCAACCGGACTGGCCGACAACGTTAAATATTTTCAAACGGAAGTGGGTCCTGTCTACGAACCGCAGGCTCAACCGTATTTGCTAATAATGTCAAAAGTGAAACAAGCACGAAAAATATTATTCGATGAACTTCACTTTTTGCTCTAACATACCACAGCACATTTAGAATATAACACCTGATATCAAGCCGATAACCGCATTTATATATGTAAACTATAGAAACCACTTTGATGTGTGATGATTCCAGTTATCGCAAACCACAGGCATTGAACTACTCTTCCCATAGTATCACAAACAGCATCCTTGGAAGAAGTTAGTAGACAGGCGGCATGTCTGCATTCTAACCGAAAGGCTGAAAGATTTTGAAGAGCGCACTTTATTATTCTAGCAGTTGGGGTACATGGTTACGAATTATCTTTATGCTGTGACTGTGCAGTTAGCTGTGTTTTGAAAAACTGCTTTTGTGGACATGCATTTTTGTGGTATGCATTCGGTTCTCTGAGAGAAGTGTTGATTAACCTGGATAGGTAGCACCAAACAGGTAGAATCACTGATAACGCTTACCAAGCGCTTTAACTTTGTGGAGTCTACCTAATCTAGGTAGTAGCTATGTGGAACCCTAGGTATTAATTAAGCTTTTTTTATAAATAGCGGCAGCTATATGCATCAGTCCAGACCATCCAAATACCACGAACCTGCGGACTGTCTCCTGATGTCTGCAGGGCGCACGCTGCTTATGTCCCCATGTTTAATGCAAGTATCCCTGCTGCCCCAAACCATTCTTCTACTGCTGCGGAGACCTTGGTATGGTCAGCTATTGGCCCACCGTTGTTCGGTCTTCTTGGTACTGCTAACCTACTGATTACTGACGCAGTAGTATCTGCTTTATCTACTACAGCTATGCTAGGGGTGTGATATTTCAGAAGGAACCATAGGAATTTTAGCCCTAATTGCTGAAATAAGCCAAAAAAGCCTAGTTTAAGAAATCCATTTGGTCCACTTTAAAGTCTAATTTACGCCTTTATTGTCTTACTGTAGCGTCGTCTTACTATCACGACTCACACAGCAACCAACTGACAACTCGTGCTGCGCCTATCCGTAACGCTGCAAGTACTCCAGGCTTTCGGATGACACGCGATGACTGGAAGCGTCCACGTAAGCATTTACCAGAACTAATCAGCACGCGGAAGCCTACGGTATAAGCTTGGAACCGAGCTGAAATGCATAATTTCGTGAAGTTCGGATTACAAATCGGTTCGGCCTAGGTTTCTATCGCGGCTAGGTCTTGCCGTTGATACAAGAAGCTCTTGCGTCGAAAAAGAAACGTAATCACACTAAAAATACACAAAGCCGAGTTGTATACTAAACATACCAAACTAATCAAACACAAACAATTACTGCTTTAATTAGTATTAACTATGATGGTCCGATGTCATTTACGGAACTGTATGATGTGATCCTTAACGCGGACATCGAACATGTCAATTAAAGTATTTGTTTTAGACATTAGGACAGCAGCATTTTTTTATTTCTGTGTCCATCATATACATGTACCACTGTCTGCTGCCTTCTACATTGCGACACTCAGTGACTTTGACACATGGGTTCACACCCAACACTCTGTGGACGAACCCTATATCAGAAGCGATCTGCAGTCTCATGTACTATTCGTTTCCATGCTGATTAATTCTTTTGTGCTTCAGAAAACCACATTTTATGCATTGTCACGAATCATGACGATTGTGGAACCCAATTACGGTAGTCTGCAACTAGCCTGATTCAAACATCTGAGAAGACCGCGGCTGGAAATTATCTGAGTTCACATTAATGGCGAATCTGAATGAGAAATGGATGTATACTAACTGCTCTAAACTTCATTATAAAATGGGTCAACTTTTCGCCCCGAAATGCATGCTCATTGACTTCACAAGCCTGCTAGATTGTCAATAAACCGTGCACCCAGGTTTTGCCAAATCTCCCCAATGACCATCTGGTAGGTGGCGCCTCGTAGGAACATGTGCATGTAAGCCGAATAAAACCATCTGATGCGCCCGGCGCTAATTGGTAGTTGTTTTTCATTGATTCACGTTTGATCATCTTCATCCTGCCGGTACCATATTTCACCTCTGTTTCTTTTTTCGAATATTTTTCCCCAGTTTATTTCATTTGAGACAATAAGTTGAACACTGTCGCGGAAGGAAACCAGTGGTCGCTGACCTGATCCTCATTCATTGCCTAGCGGAATAAATCGTTGAGTTCAAAAGGTCATGGGGCCGGTTCCTGATGGATTTGAGGGAAGCGCATCATTGACAAACCCCTATAGAACGAAACGACCGTCTGTCACTTTTCCGGATACATAAGCGGCTTTCGAAGAAAGTAGAAGCCACGATTAAAATTCACGCATAATAATATGCCTCGACGGGGAGTCGAACCCCGGTCCACGAATTTCCGGTCCGCTGCTCTACCACCTGAGCTACCGAGGGCTGACGATTAGGTGCGCAAATTTTAACAGCTTATTGGCAACACGTCGCGCACCAAGCAGAAGACATGTGTTAAAATTTGCGCACCTAATCGTCAGCCCTCGGTAGCTCAGGTGGTAGAGCAGCGGACCGGAAATTCGTGGACCGGGGTTCGACTCCCCGTCGAGGCACATTATTGTGCGTGAATGTTAATCGTGGCTTCTACTTTCTTCGAAATTCACACTACTCACAAACATGCACCATTAATCTACCATCGCCCATTGGACGTCTGAAGGACAGGAACTTCGGTCTATTGGGAAGTGACGGGTGAGTGAGCCAATCTGTAACATCAGGACAGGTACTGTGAGCTTATTGGCAACACGTCGCGCACCAAGCAGAAGACATGTGTTAAACTTTGCGCACCTAATCGTCAGCCCTCGGTAGCTCAGGTGGAAGAGCAGCGGACCGGAAATTCGTGGACCGGGGTTCGACTCCCCGTCGAGGCATATTATTGTGCGTGAATGTTAATCGTGGCTTCTACTTTCTTCGAAATTCACACTACTCACAAACATGCAACATAAGAGGCTATCCGACTTGAAAGTTGATCGCGAAGACCCCTTGACAAACTCCGGACTGTATAGAGCCAATCGTATTAAGTAGAGTATTTTCATTCCCGTATTTTCCATGTGTACCAGGAATGTAGCATTTCTGTATCCTACGATTCACCACTACAAAAATCTGCTCTTATTCCGGTCTCCTGTTGTCAGAGGGATTGACAAATAAATGAACTCCGAAATAATGGGTCTTTGTTGTATCGATCAGTCAATGTGGTTAACTCAAATGGGTTTAGCATCCAGCATCAGAAATGCTACGCTAGCATACACAGCTCACCCTGACGGTAATCGTTCGGGTCAGCTGGGACCGCTATGAGTTCTGGTTTACAGTGTTTTTTTAATTAACTAGACAATCATGAGAGTGTATGCGCTTCATAAAAAAGAAGCTGTCATTTTAATTAGCGGATCGATGGGAAATTAGTTGAAATGGTTAAGTAGCTTCTTACTGCGTGTTTTACATTTCCTAACATCTCTGGCTTCCATGAAAAGGAAACACAATGTTGTCCAAACCAGTAACTTAATGACGGACATGCTCAAACAAGCTTACGTCTTTTGCAAAATGCTCAGAAGTGTGATCCTCTCCCTGATCCACTGCAAACAATATTTTTGGCACGCGGAGTGACGTGTCGTTCTTCTTCGAGGACAGTGATGTATCGGATCCATCTAACAGTCTTGCAATTTCCGTGGGAACGGGAAGGTGAATGGTCGTTGTGCCTTCATCGTCTGTGCCAGGTTCAGAAATCTGCTCATCTTTTTGTGCGTCCTCTTCAGCGTATCGGTACAGAATATCAATCGATCGCATGGCTGAATATCGAAGTTACAATAGCAAGAATAACGAATTATTTTATCAGAATAATAGGTATGCAATTTAATGGATGAGATATTATTCACATTTCATGTTAAATTATACCATCCGAAGTGTAGGTTTCCGAGAACCTGTGCCTCCCATTGCGCAACTAGTACGAGGAATCTTGAGGATAAATGTGGGCCTATACATAATCAATGTAATATTTATATTATGAAATTTGAAACTCACTGGCTATTTGTTTACGAGCTGTAATAAAAATTTAACTCAGATTGTACTTGTGTCTAGCTTATTGTAGCGACAGAACAACGCGGCAATGAAGCACGATCTTTATTGGCGCGAACACATGCAACACCCTACCACTCACACAGGCACACATTAATGAGTCAGGTTTCTTTCCCACGTTGCACCATCCCTCTTGGCCTCCGCTTGTGGCACAACTATGCTCCTTCTGGGGGTACGGGAACGCATCTTCTATGTCCGTTTCGCCCGTGTATCTTCGCTTCCACGCCTCCGATTCTGACAGGCCCGGAGTCGTTCGATAGCCTGCGCTTTCCTTGACCATGGGTGTATCACTCTCCCCGGGGATGTTTCTTGAAGATGCGATACCGGCGGTTTTGTCCGATTTATTGCGTCTTCAACAAATTCTCCAACTGCTTTGCCTGCCTCGGGGTCACCCACGGATGCCGTTCCTGTCCCATTTTTGTCCCGTTCTATTGGGCCTGGGTTTCTCCAACGAATTGCCCCCATTGCAGCGGTCTCCCTATTCGTCCGCCTCCGTTTTAATGATCTAACCGTCCTTTGGGCAAGCGCTGTCTACCGCCTCCCTACATTATGATGGTTATTGGTAGTTTTGAAGGGAGAGATTACCCTGCGCATATTGACGGGTTTATGACATCGCAAGGCACTAAAGCGACCAGTAACCCATTGTACATGTTCGTGATAAGTGGCTCAACTCCCATGCGGCCGGCAGACGTGTCGTGTTGCCAACGCAAAATTGTGGAATAGCTGTTGACAATCGCACAGAGGCAATTCAAACATGCAAATCCGGGAGACACGATGTCTTGCCAGATTCATGAGCTATGCTACCCTACGCGTAATTATGATGGTAATACATCTTTGATCGAATCCCATATTGGCTTTCGCGCCTTCGAATGACTCCATGAGAGAACAGCTAATCGATTACCGATGACTCGAGCTGATCATGAACAGACAAGTAGGAGAGATAACGCGTAGTACAGGCCTACTGCGGTGAACGAATTAGAGCTTAGTTTGAAACAAAGAAAGCGGATCGACTTGAATATTAGCGTGAAAACAGTATGTGCGTTTCAAGGAACCCGGTCTAACTGCCTGGGGTACAATGACGGTGCCTACACTGGACACATAGAGGCGATAAGCGTTGAATATGCTTGCATAGGGCAGAGGGACATCGAAAAAGAGATCGTGCGGTCAGGTATAATCCAGATTAAAAGTGACGTTGGACAGCGTAGGAAAGGGTTGAACCGAGCCCAATGAACAATGAACAACGATTTTTCACGAGTGAAAAGCATGTGCTTTACAAGTCCCGTTGGATGGTTAGAGTAAAAAATAACAGTAAAGGATCATCGATTAAATATACGGTTATTTTATCATCATCATCATAGACGTCAGCTAGAGGTAGGAAAGACCTCAGCTACTGTGCCGCAATACATAAATGAAAGAGGAAAATAAATACAACAATTGCATGCCAGCTGAGCTACCAGCAACGGATAGGCATCGTTCCCCTAAGCTACCAGTTGGCTACTAGGCAAAAAGAAAAATTATTATGTTTTACGCTACGAAATAAGATCGAAGATGGAAGGGGAGGCTAGGAGGGATGAGGAGGACAAAAAAACTCACAGCAGGAACGACACTGAGTTTGGCTCCTAGTCATGTCAGCAAGTGTATTCGGTCAAACGTGTTCATCGTCTTTCATACTCCGACCAGGGGTCTAGACGCTCCAACCGAGGCCAGCTCCGAAGTTAGGGCCTTCATTCCTCTGGACCAAGTCATCGCTTGGCCACCTCTCCTCTTCTTCCATCCACATCCCCGGTGAGCAAACAACGCACGTCGAGGGAGTCAGTGGGCTGACATGCGCAACACGTGGCCGAGCCATCGGAGTCTGGTGCGGGAAATAACGGGGCTGAGCGGTTCAGTTCCTTTTCCTGTGCCGTAAACAAGGCATCGAACAGGCTCGTTGCTCACCCGGTGTTCCCACCAGATGTGAGCCAAACTGCGGAGGCACCGGTGGGCAAACGTAACTAGTCTCTTTATATCCACTGACCTAAAGGGCTAGGATTCCCAACCTTACAGTAAGGGCGGACGTACCGCTGCATTGTACACTCTACCCTTCAGGGCAAGAGTGATGTCACACCGGCGTTATGAGTGGTGAAGGTTAGCAAAAGCACTTCGAGCTTTTGCTATACGGTTCGTGATCACATCTTCTATCACACGGGCGCTGATACAACTTCCCAGGTAGTTGAATTTTTGAACGACTGCTAGCTGATCCCCACCAAGGTTAAGCGCAGGAGGCGATCCCTGCCAAACTTGGAGGAACGCTTTGCACTTCGATAATGCAAAACATAGCCCGAAGCGGTTGGCAACCTGTGCTAATCTGTCCAGTGCAGCTTGGCAGGTCTGGGAGCTGTCAAAGACTAGGGCAATATCGTCAGCATACTCCAAGTCAAGAAGTCGTTCTCCTGGGAATAGTTCCACCCCTTGCAAGTCATGTCTTGTAAATGCAATCTCCATGACTTAGTCAATAGCGAAGTTGAAGAGGAAAGGTGACAGCGGGCATCCTTGTCTCACACCGCTGGAGATATTGAAGGGTGGGGACAGCTTGCCGTAAGCTCTCACTCTGCCCGAGCTACGTGCGTATAATGCTCGGATAATATTTACATATTTCTCAGGTACACCTTTCCTGAGTAGACAATTCCCAAGAGCACATTGATCAACCGAATCAAGGCACCTTTGGTGTCCAGGAACACGACTAGGGTGGGCCGCCAATATGTGTGACATTGCTCCAACAACTGACACAAGGTGAAGATGTGGTCAATGCAGCCACGACCCCGACGAAATCCGGCTTGCTGCTCACGAAGCTGACTTTCACGAACGCGTCAGTCTGTGAAGGAGTATGGAGGCGAGTAATTCGAGGATGACGGAGATCAGACTGATTCCTCTGTGGTGTCCGCATCCCGAAAGCGAGCCTCCTTTGAAGATGGGAACACTAACGGAGCGGCTCCAGTCGGTTGGGACAATTTCCCAGCACACACACTCCCACACTTTCACTAGTGATTCATGTAAAACATCAACAAGAGCAGAACTTCCGAATTTGAAGAGAGTTGGAGGAATAGCATCTGGTCCCGCGGCTTTGTTCAACTTCAACAGTCCGATCACACGTTCGACTTCTGAGCGAGAGGGTGGATCCTAAAGGACAGCACAGGGAGCAGGGCGATCATTGACCGGCGAAGAATCGAACAATTCGAGCCGATTAAATTGATTTCAAAATGCTCAGCCCAACGCTCTAGGTATTTGGAGAAATTATGGTATCCACAATTTCTATTTCTAAGCTATCCACTCTCATCACGTATGGTTTCACCAACACCAGGTCTCCTGCTGCCCGTTCCCCGTATCAGACGGAATAATTTTGCATGGTTGCCAAGGACAGCGGCCGCTTCCATTTCTAACGCACGAAGAGACCACCAGGATTCGCGGTCTCTCTTCAGGCTAGCACGGAATCTTGCCCGAAGCTATTTGCGAGTTTCCTTGTGTTCGTTTCCAGTCAGGATATGCCGGGGAGCATCCATAAGTTCAAGAGACCGCGAAGAGGCCAAATATCCATGTTGGCTATTAGAGATACCATATGAGGATTTGCCTGCTGCTAGTAAAGTCTGGTGAACATGTGACCAGTGACCATCAATTGTCTCCATTGAGCGCTTACTCAACTCGCATGTCCGTGTACTTCGATACGCATTCAGTACAGCTGGCTTCGCCAGTTGGCTGGTGTCAATGCGCTCACAGCGTCGTCGTATGCTTCCGCCAAAACACATCCGCATGTCAGCACATACAAGTGCATGATCGGTGTTCACACATGTACTCCAAATCGAGCGACAATTCTGGATGCAGCCTCTCCACCGGCAACTGATAGCAATGTGATCGATCTGCATCCAAGGCGGGTTCGAAGCTGGTGGGCGCCAAGTCAATCTACGGCGGGTGCTGTGTCAGAAGTTAGTGCTCGCAAGAAATAAGCGAGCATCTTCACACAAATGAAGTAACCGCTCACCGTTATCGTTACGGGAGCCTACACCGTGCTGACCGCCCAGATGCATTTCATCAGTGGACAACTTTCCAACTTGTGTGTTCATATCCCCCGCCAGCACAACAGTGTCCGTGCTTCTTCTGTGGCGAGGGAGCAGGGTCAGTTAACGGTAGAAGTCGTTCTTTACCAAATCATCGCTAGAGTTTGTGGGTCCATAGGTAGCGATGATGAATAGACACCTATTAGTCCCCCGCGACTTCGAAGCTTTGAACGAGCCAGCCAATCGGACCGCACACATCCGGCTACTGATTGGAATCCAATCAACCAGAGCAGCTTCAGCCCTGGGACTCAGGGCAATGCCAACACCAGCTTGACCGGTACTCGAAGCTGCATCTTCACCGGATAGGCGAATGAGAAAATACTGCTGGTGTCACCTGAAGGGGATCGCAGAGTGAGCACAGAGCACGAGTCTTTAAGGCGGGTCTCCCATTAGCAGCAGATAGCGATGGAGTGGGTCTCTAATGTTCGGGCAAGTGCTGCCTGTTGACCGATCTGTAGCAATGTACGAACATTGAGGCATGCTAATCTGAAGGAGGATAGACGGCTCCAAATGCAAACCGATGAACTGGAATGGGCCGCTTGTTTGGACATGGGCTTGTCGACAGGAGAAGAGTGACGCTCCGCGTTAGCATGTGAGTAGAAATTAAAAGAAAAACGCCTAGC